ATATAATACTCTCTTCTCTCCTCAGTGTCCATGTATAGTCAGGCCTGCAATGGATGGATTTATTCAGGTTTTCATTGACAATAGCAACAGACCCTTAAAATGTGGTAACTAAAGGGATGGAAAGAGCAATTTACTGTACATATTCATGTATAAGTCTAGAAAGTTTAGTACAAAAATTGACACACACACCCCCCCCAAAAAAAACAAAAACCCTGGGTCAACTTATCCATGGGTCAGTGTCAGTATTGTACTTTACCTTTTAACCAAAAAAGGAGCCATCCCCTTCTCTGAATAGAGTGGTGAAAGGCAAGAGCTTAGTCCATCCTGGGAAAAGTAAAAGAAGCACCAACCTTCTCTACTCTCTCTGCCAAGGTACTATTTTTAATCTTTTTGAATGCCCAGATGGGGAAAATGGCATTGGTGGACAATGGCAGCCCTTTGGTGCTTCCCTTCAAAGGAGTGCCAAGAGGGATCAGGCTTTGGAGGATCTGAATAAGACATCTGTAGAAAATAATAATTTTCCTACAGACTAAAAGAAGGGGCTATGAGATAGAATGGCGTTGAAATACAAGGGGTACAAAGAAGGGGTGTGCTTTGTGTGTATGTTTGTCTAGGAAATAATACAGTCAGCCCTCCATATCCATGGATTCTGTATCTGCAGATTCAAGTCTCCATGGCTTGAAAATATTTTAAAAATATATAAATTCCAAAAAAAAAAAGAGAGAGCAAAATTTGGTTTTCCCATTGTATATAACGATAACCATTTAATATTTATATTATATTTATATTAGTGGGACTTAAACACCCTTGGATTTTGGTATCCACAGGGGTTTTGGAAGGGTCCACGGTATAATTATTGGAATGTCTGGAAACAAAAGCACCTGTGTGTGTGTGTGTGTGTGTGTGTGTGTGTGTGTTTGTGGGTGCATGTGGGAGCATGCGCAATTGACAAAGCCTTTTGTCTTCTGCTAAGCAACCCATTCCTCTTACCTCTGAAAGACTCTTATCTCCAGGAAAGCAGCCTCACATCTCTTCTTCCCCACCCTCTTTTAAAGTCAAGCCGATAAATCCTGGGAGCCAAGCTGGTGTAGTGGCTTGAGTGTCAGAGTGGAGTGGAGAACAGGGTTCGATTTACAGCCATTAAACCCACTGGGTGACTTTGATCAAGTTGCATGCTCTCAGCCTCAGGGAAAGGCCGTGGCAAACCTCCTCTGAACAAATCTTGCCAAGGAAACCCTGTGATACATTGGCCTTAGGGTCACCATAAGACAGAAACAACTTGAAGGCACACAGTAACCAAAAATCCTGGGCAGATGGGTTCCTTCTCCAGAATGAAGTAGGATTGAGAACTAATAATGCTGCAAATCTTGTTACGCTCCCTCCTTGCTCTGCTACACCTTCGGCAGAGCTGGCCCAAGACTTTTTGAAAAGGAAAAGATGACACCTCTGTCCTTCCTCCCCCATATTTCGCCTGCAGAAGTGCATTGGACTGATATTTAAAATGTACCCTCAACACCTAAAAGCAACAGGCCAGTTTAAGAGGGTACAGGGCAGGCAACACCGCTGGACTTGCCAGTTCAGGATCATGCCAGGCTTTGAGGATTCAGAGCCCAAATCTGAGACCTGTGTCTTTCAGCATTGTCTTTTTAAGTACCCACCACAGTTGCTCACAGCTTGTCATTAAAAAACCCAAAACCACACACATTTGTACACAGAGATGAATTTCCTTTTGGGAAATGAAGACAGGAATCTCAATTAAAGCGTTGTCCCTAGATCAAGGTGAAACGTGGGATTATTTTCTCTCCCTTACTTTGGGAGATGGGATAAGGAACAGTTAATCTAGCCTACTTGATCCTAGCCAGACGGTGGATGCAGAGCAGAGTGGATGGTGAGCCCTGGCAACGCAATGACTGGGATAGAAAGAGGAATGTTAGTAAATACACACACACTGTCCCAGAGTCTTTGCAAGCTGCAGCAACATATCAGGCAAGCTGCTGCTCTACTTGCCGACTTGAAGATTTGCAGACAGCCTGGAGCCGAGTCTGCCAAAACTGGAGAATTTACACCTTTGTCTCCCATCTGGAAATGACCCATGGAAACTGGAGACTCAGAGCTGGGACCCAAGATCTGGCACCCATACATGTGGCACAAGTGCTTTATCGTTCGACAGAGCATGCTACTCTTATCTTCTGCCCAAGGGAAGCCTTCCTAATGGCAGCACCAACCTTATTCTCTAGAGATTGTGGTTCCTCAAGTTCTTTTCTGGGGTTCCGAAAACTGTACAAACACACAAAGGTAACAATGCCCAAGATCCTACATCGACAGGCAGGGATATGGCTCCACCTGTGCAGGAACTCCTTAAACTCCACGAAAAAAAAAGGCTTGGTGGTTTTTCTTGGAGTATCTGCAGAAATCCACAGAAATATGCAGAAAAGCACATTATTGCACATGTAGCCATCCATTGGCTTCGCATGGATTTGGATGGCTGAGCATTTTTGCCAGAGGGAGGGTGAATAGATGCAAACAGCTGCATATTTGTGCAAGAAAGTGAAGACAAGTGTTGGTGCAATCATGCGAAAATGTGCAGCAATTTGGAGAATATACTTATAGGTTAGCCCTCAGTTTGAACTTTGAAATCAGCTTGCAGCAATTGAAATAAGCTGAGGCTGGAGAGGAAAAGTGAAGGAGGAGGAGGAGAGAAACTGGGACCTTTTAAAAATAGTTGAAAAAGTGGGATGACCGATTATTTGGGGCTGACTTTGCCAAATAGGCAGTTGGAGGGTATACTATAGCTGTATGGTTATATATCTGGGGTCTTTTGGTGGTGCGTATAGTTATGCATCTGGGGTCTTTTGGAGGATAATGCCATCATCATGGGCATGGCTATAGGGGCTTAGCCCAATGCTTTAGGATCATTTCCTATTCTGGTCACTTTAGGGTTATATCTGGGGAGGACAGCCTGCAACAAGTAGATTTACAGGGACAGTTTGGATTTTGCTTGAGAGAAGTGCCGGTTTCCGACATCCACAATCACTAAAGAAATGAAGTACATAGAAATACCGTAAGCCGAATGTATGTCTGCATGGAGCCAACAGGACGAGGGCACTGGGATCCCAGGGTTCAAATCCCTGCTCAGCCATGGCAACCTCATGGGTGACCTTGGGCAAGTTGCATTCTCTCAGCCTCAGAGGATGACAAAGGTAAGCCACTTCTGAACAAATTCTACTAAGGAAACTTCATGACAGTTGCCATGAGTCAGAAAAGACTTGAAGGCACACAACAGCAACAAACATCTGTATAACCCATTAACAAGATGCCAGCCATATTCTTAGGTTCAGTATATAACTTGTGCCCAGGGGTCAATTCCCTGCTAGGCCATGGAAGTCCCCTGGGTGACCTTGGGCAAGTCACACTCTCTCAGCCTCAGAGGATAGCAATGGCAAACCCCCTCTGATGAAACCAGCCAAGAAAACCCTGCCCAAGGTTCACCTTAGGGCTGCCATAAGTCCCAAATGACTTGAAGGTACACAACGCACACGCACAAACCCCCTATTTTAGGCCAGAATGCATTCAGAAAGGTATAGTTTGTGAAGGGCATGTTCAGAAATCAGGATGTTTAAAAACAAAAATGTGGAAATGGAACCCAATGGACGCATGAGATCAATTGTTATTCCCCACTTAAGGGTCAGTCACTTCTCTAGCTTGACCAACACTGCTCTCTTGCGGTTATTGGTATGAATTCGCCGGCACACAGAGGAAACCCAGGCTGCATCTACACTGCAGAATTAATGCAGTTTGATACCGCTTTAATGGCTATGGAATTCTGGAATTTGTAGCTTTGTGAGCTATGTAGCTTTCTTTTTAGAGTGTTCTGATGCCACAACAAACTCCAAATCCCAGGATCCCATAGAATGGAGCCATGACATTTAAAGCAGTGTCATTAGTTCTGCATTAGTTCTGCAATGTTCTGCAATGTGGCAGCAGCCTCAGAAACACGGATGTCTCAATGGTACTTCCAACATGGGCTTATGGATTTATCTGAAACGAGGGCAAAGTTTCTTCTGCGCTGGGCCACACTTCATGCTGCAAAGGTTGCACAGGAATGACTCACAAAAACCACCTTTTCTGTTGCAAATGGGTTTGCATAGTCTCCTGGTGCTATTTTGACTATGGAACTTGTCACAGTCCCTAACTTTGCAGCAGAACCTACCTGGCTCTGAAGACCCACATATTTGATGAATATATTTGTTGAAATTGGTTGTTGTGGTGCTGGTGACATCCCATAGCGCGATATGAGGTGGTATATATATATATATATATATATATATATATATATATATATA